GTGTGCCCTGCAAAGTGACTGCTGATGCTGGAGTCTGCCACCCGGGACTCCTGGCCACTGAGGTGGGAGCCAGGCAGCCTGCTGTGCGGACTGATGACCGACTGCCTCTCAGCGGTGGTGGGGTGGGGCCCGCCAAGGCACTAGCAGGGCCGTGGAGTCTGGGCAAGTGTGTTTGAGACAATCCAGAGTCATTTTATCACTGTCTGTGAACATCCCTCATGTCTGCTGAGGCCCCTCTTCCAGGAACAAGACGAGCACACAGGTGACGTGAAGTTGGTGGCGTTTTCCCCTTGTGCGGCGGCCAGGCCAGGCCTGTGCATGCCCGGGAGAGCACCTACCACCGAGCCACACCCCAGCACAGACGCCAAGTTTTTTAGAAGCCACGTTTTAAAAAAGTAAATCAAGGACTGGGCTGGAGCTCAGCGGTAGAGCTTGCCTGGCACGGGGGAGGCACTGGGTTGCATTCTAAGCACTGCATACAAATAAATAATAAAATAGAAGCCCCTCAACAACTAAAAAATACATATTTAAAAAAAATGTAAAACAGAAAGGTTTAAATTCATCTTCACAGTATGCTTTTTTCCCTCGTATTACTGGCACTGAACCTAGGTAGGGGTGCTTTACCACTGAGCCACATTCCCAGTCCTTTTTCTACTTTTTATTTTGAGGCAGGGTCTCACTAAGTTGCTCAGGATGCCCTCAAACTGTGATCCTCCTGCCTCAGCCTCTGGAGTCGCTGGGATGACAGGCATGGCCCTTGAAGGCATGGCCAGCTAATGACATGCACTATTTAACAGAAAACATGCAAAGCATTGTTATTTAACCGTGTGACTGATACATAGAAACAGTTAACAAGAACGGTTATTTTCTTCCTTTCAGATCAAGGGTCTGAAATCCACTGTGGGCTCAGGGGTACGGCCACTAGGTCCTGGAGGGACAGCTCAGGGTTCCCTTCTGCGGGTTCACTTCCTGGGCGCTCTTGGCCAGCCCTTCCTCTCTCGGCCACGGTGACGCCGCACCTCCATCTCGCTGTCTGACCACTGTCCCAGTCCAAAGCCCAGGCATGGAAGTATCTCAGTCCCTGTGCCTCTCGGGCTTCTGGGCATGATCTGGGGCAGTGTTTTCATCTTACGTTTTGAGATGGCGTCTGGCTGTGTTACCCAGGATGGCCTTAACCTCCTTAGCTCAAGCCCTCCTCCCGCTCAGCCCCCTACTAGGTGGGACTGCAGACACGGGCACCACACCTGGCTTGGGCACTGCTTGCTGTCACACGGACAGCCTGTGTTTCAGGGTCCCAAGACCACCCTAGACATGATTTGCTGGGAGGACCCCTATTGCATAGGCAGTCAAGAACCAAGATCCCCTGTGGTCAGGGAGGGTGGGCAGTCCCGGCAGCCCAAGTCCCCGACCCTGCTGCCAACCTTCTGAAGATGTGGCCGCAGGCCTGCATTATGGGCTGTGCCCTGCTGAGCACAGGGCGGCTGTGTGGCCGTGAGCTGGCCTGCATCATGGGCACCTCTGTTCCAGGTCCTGCCTCCCTGGAGTCAAGCCAAGACCCTTGGGTGTGTTTTGACGGAGCCTCGGTGCCAGACTGGGCCACCTTTGTTAGGGGCAAGTTAGCTGGGGGCAGACCTGGCCCTGGGGACATGGGGAGGAGCACCTGGCCCAGCAAGCTGGTGGCTTCAAGGTGTCATGTTGGGCCCATGCCAAAGTCTGGGAGCCAGAGTGCCTTGCCCATGTTCCCTGTGCAGAGTCCCAGGGGGCTGTTGCAGGCTCGCTGTCCCTGCACTGCCTCCCCTGCCCTGGCTGTCTGGCCCCAGAGACTGTGGGCCAGGAACTAGGGCCCCAGCCCGCCCTGCTGCTCCCAGCCACACTTCAAGGCTGTGCACTGTGGGGTGACAGCAATGGAGATGCTGGTGACGGCAGGTCAAGCTTTGTAAGAAGGCACAAGCCAGGCACAGTGGCCACGCCTGTCATCCCAGCAACTAGGAGGCTGAGGCAAGAGGATCTCATGTTCAAAGCCAGCCTCAGCAACTTAGTGAGGCCCTAAGACCTTTTCTCTAAATTAAAAAAAAGGGGGGGGGGGCATTGGACTGTGGCCTAGTGGTAAGATGCCCCTGGGTTCAATCTGCAGCACGAAAACAAGTGTGGTGTGTGTGGTCAAGGAGGAAAGCCAGGCTGGCCGCGGCTCAGGGGTGGACGCTCACCTAGCACGTGGGAGGCCCTGCGTTCCATCCTCAGCACCGCAAAAAATTAATAAATCAATAAATAAAGATGTTGTGTCCAACTACAACTAAAAATAAATATAAAAAAAGAAAGAAAGAAAGAAAGCCGGGCGCGGTGGCATATGCTGTCCCTGTGGTCCCAGTGACTCAGGAGACTGAGGGGATCACGAGTTCAAAGCCAGCCTCAGCAATGGCGAGGCACTAAGCAACTCAGTGAGGCCCTGTCTGTAAATAAAATAGAGCATAGAGGGGCTGGAGCTGTGGCTCAGTGGCAGAGCGCTTGCCTGGCACACGTAAGGACTGGGTTCAATCCTCAGCACCATATAAAAAAAAATAAAACAAAGACATTTAAAAAACATTACAGAATAGGATTGGGATGTGGCTCAGTGGTCAAGGGCCCCGAGTTCAATCCTCAGGACCCAAAAGAAAAAAAAAGAAGAACACCCTTGGCACAGCATCCTGTGGCCCAGGGGGGGGACAGGATGGAGCTCCCTGTCGGCCCACCTGGGCGCGATCCCACCTCCTCCCTCGCCTGACTCACGCAGCCCCACATCCTCCAGGGCTTCTGCTGGGCCCAGCAAGAGGTGGGGAGCCTGGGACCAGGTCCCTTTTGAAGCCAGTGTCCACCTGGCTGCAGGGCTGTGGTCAGAGCATGGGAAGCCTGTACCCGTTGCAGGAGGGCTCGTCTGGGCACGGGTCTCGGGGCCTTTCTTCCTGCAGCCCGCTGGGCCAGGCAGGCTAGAGGCAGAATTCTGCCCCCTGCTGACCCTGGGCTCTGCACTCTCCCTGGAGGCAGCCGCATGGCCCCAGCCTGGGGTGTCCTGCCACCACGTAGGAGACTGTCCCACAGTCAGCAGGTTCAGTGACGCTCATCTACCAGCCTCCTCTTGTGGTCAGGAGCCTGGACCAGGCTGGAGTCCAGGGGTCAGCCAGGGCTGCGTTCTCACCTGGAGGCTGGCTGGGGAAGGGCTGCCCTGACACTCTTGGCAGAATCCCGTTCTTGGCCTGGGACTGAGGTCTCTGAAGCCTGCTGGCTGTCCCGGGGTACCTGTTCCTGGCACACGGACCCTCCATCCTGAAGGCCCCACGTGTCGGCTCTCAGGCTTCCGACCTCTGACTCTTCAGACCCCGATGGCAGATTAGTGGCTGCCTGGGGGGGGTGTGGCAGGGCAGTGACTTGCCATGGATTGAGCACTGCTCCGGTGTCCCGAGCGCCGAACGGTGCACCTGACGGGGTACCCTTGGCTGTCCACTTCACGCCCTGTCGCTGGAGAGCCAGAGGCAGGTTGGCCTCTGTAGCCCGGGAGGTGGTGGGACGTGAGCGTGCGCGACGGGACGCCCTGACCTGGGCTGGATCTCCACAGCCTCTTAGGAGGCCTCCTCAGCTCGCCCGGGAGCCCCCCTTGAGGATGATGCTCTGCTCGGTCTCTCCCACAGTCGGCCTGCGGGATGGAGTCGGCCCCCGGCCTCACAGAGCAGCGTGGTCAGAAGGCAAGGAGCCCCGCGAGGGAGCCAGCGCCGTGGCAAGCGCTCCCGGTCCTGTCGGAGCAGCAGTCCAGGGATGTGGAGCTGGTGCTGGCCTATGCCGCGCCCGTCCTCGACCAGCGCCAGACCTCACGCCTCCTCAGGGAGGTGACGGCCATCCACCCACTGCCCGCCCACCCTCACCTCAAGCGGGTGCGGCGCAGCCGAGATGCCCACGGCCCCCACGCCCTGGAAATGCTGCTCTGCCTGGTGGGACCCGCCGCGGGCTCGTGCTCTCTGGCCGAGCTCCTCCCAAGGCCAGCTGTGGACCCCCAGGGCCTGGGGCAGCCCTTCCTGGTGCCTGTGCCTGCCTGGCCTCCCCTGACCCGGGGCCAGTTTGAAGAGGCTCAAGCCCACTGGCCCATATCCTTCCACGAGGACAAGCAGGTGACCAGCGCCCTGGCCGGGCAGCTCTTTTCAGCCCAGGAGCGGGCAGTGATGCAGAGCCACATGCAGCGGGCCGTGCAAGTGGCCCAGCAGGCAGCAGCTCAAGGCTTGAGAGCCGTGGGAGCCGTCGTCGTGGACCCGGCCTCGGGCCACGTGCTGGCCACGGGCCATGACTGCAGCTGTGCCGGCAGCCCCCTGCTGCATGCCGTCATGGTGTGTGTGGACCTGGTGGCCCAGGGCCAGGGCCGGGGCACCCGCAGCTTCAGGCGCCACCCAGCCTGCTCCTTCGCCCCAGCTGCAGCCCAGTGTGTGCGGGTAGGCGCCGTGCGCAAGCTGGAAGAGGCTGAGGCCGAGGACGGCCTGCCCTATGTGTGCACCGGCTGTGACCTCTATGTCACCCGTGAGCCCTGTGTGATGTGCGCCATGGCCCTGGTGCACTCCCGCATCCAGCGGGTCTTCTACGGGGCACCCTCGCCTGACGGTGCCCTGGGCACACGCTTCCGCATCCACGCCCAGCCAGGCCTCAACCACCGCTTCCAGGTCTTCCGCGGGGTGCTCGAGGACCAGTGTCGCTGCCTAGACCCCGACACCTAGGCCCGGTGTCTTCCTGTTTCTGGAAGGTTCTCTGCTCCTGCCCAGTCTTGGCCACATTGGAGACTGAGGGGCCTCCCCTCCATGGCCGCCCTCCTATCTGTGCTAAGGATGCTTACCGCCTGCCTTGGCCCGTGCCCCAGGGCCAGGGCTTGTTGCTGGGTGGCTGACAGGCAGCCCGGGGCTCGCTCTGCTTAGAGCGAGCCGGGGAGGGTCCTCTGTGAGCCTGCGTGGCTGTTACCGTCTCTGTGGTTGTGTCAGAAACAGCTTTCATGTCTGCAAATAAACTACCCAGAACCAAGCTGCTACCTGCTTAGAACACCCATGTGGCCGCCAGGGAGGGAGCCTGGGACCAGGTGGGACTGGACAAGGTCTGCATGTTGGGCTCAGGGACTTCGAAGGGGGGGCCTCTACCTACTGATCCAGGGGCTCGGACGTGTTTCCCAGGGCAGGGGAGGCCCCAGGTGGCACCTCTCTGGCCTCTGGAAGTCGTTAGCAGTGTCTGAACACTGACCAGGTCAGGGTCAGCTTACCTGAGGGCTTCTCCTGGGCTGTCCCATTCACTGTATCTCATGGGTGGTGAAGAGGACCCCACAAGGGCCAGTGCGTGTGTCCCGGGGCGGTTGGGCTCTGCTGAAGTTAGGCTCTGGAGACAGCTGCTGGTCTCTCCAGCAACGTGCCTTGCCTGACCCAGGACGTGCCTGTCCTGGAGGACCCCAGCCCTCGGGAGCAGGCAGGGAGCCGTGCCTGCCTGAGGTGCCCGCGCAGCAGACAGAACCCTGCTGCTGGCCGTGAGCCCCCCTGACCTCCAGGAGGGAGGGGCCAAGCTGGGCTGGGCCAGAGCAGAGATGAGTCCAGAGGAGGAGCCAGTGCAGGCCCTGCTGGAGGTGGCCCTGCTGCTGTGCCAGGCCGCTCCTTTGTGGGCCTGCTGCGCCGGGAGCTCCGGGCCACGGCATGGCGCGTGGGCCTGGCTGTTCCTCCGAGGCCCGAGAGCTGGCCAGACCCTGCTCAGTCGTGCCAGCGGGTGGCTGCCTGGGTCAGGGCTGTTCGGTGACACGAGCCTGGGTGGCCCTGGGGTTGGATGGGGTCCTCCTTGTGAGGCTCACAGGGAGAACTGTGGCCTCTGGTCACACAGCAGTGAGCCTGGACAGTCCTGGGGGCTGCCGAGGTGGTTAGAGCCATCTAAGGGGGAGGCAGGAAGGGTGGCGGGCTGGTGGGGAGAGACGGGGGTGCCCCGGGGCTGGGGGTGGAGGGGGCAGCCCTGCCCTTCCCCTCTAGGTGCTCAGCTGCGCCCAGGGAAGTGGTGACTGGAGACCCCACATCTGGCCAGTGGCGCCTGCTGAGCCAGAATCCCAGCTGAACTGGCCTTGCGGGCAGGAGCGTAGGACAGTGGGCACCCCTTCCTGGCTGGGCATGGGATGGCCCTGACCTCCTGTGTCCTTTCAGGTAGCTGCAGGATCTAGCCCCCGGCCGGGCCAGGCGGAGCAGAAATGTCAGGTGAGTACCCAGGAAGTGTCCCTCGGCAGAAGGGACCCCAGCAGCTCTCACACGCCCCAACCCCAGCCTGTTATCATGGGGTCCATTCTCTGGACCCTCTGCCCTGGGACGCCTTGGGCCACTCCTGTGTCCTCTGGCTTGGAAAGAGGAGGTGCCAGGCTCTCTGCGGCTGCCTCCCCGCCTCCTGCGCTCTGCGCCTCCCCAGGGCCTCTGCCCCGGCTGTGCCTGCTGCCTGGCTGCCTCTCCCTGAGTCCACGGCTCTCCTCAGGCGGCAGCGCTGAGGTCCTGTCCCTGTGGCGCTTGGTCCTCTTGCCTCTGTGCCGGCTCACAGCTCCGCGGCAGCCTCCTGGCATGGGAGCCCCTGAGACCGGGCCTCCTCCTCTGGTCTGCCTCTCGGCCCTCGGGGTGCCTCCTGGGAGGAAGCCTGGGGCCTGTGGGTGCAGCGTGCCCGCCCACATGCCATGTGCGAGTCATGCCCAGAGGGTCTGCCCGTCCGGCCCTGGGGCTCTGTGGGCCTCAGTTGAAAATAGATCTGTGCAGGTGACCGTGAAGGTGAGGTCACACTGGTGTGGGGTGGGCCTAGTCCAGTGACTGGGTCCCTGTAAAAAGGGAAATTGGGACAGACGCAGGAGGACGGCTGTGTGAGGTGGGACAGGTGACATGCCCAAAAGCCCAGGGACAGGAAGGGCCCTCTCTGGAGCCTGTGCGGGAATGTGACCCTGCCCATCCCTGGACCTTGGACTCCAGCCTCCGGGACGGAGAGGGGAAGCCTGAGGAGGCGACCTCCCAGGCACAGTCTGTGTTGGCATGGTGTGGGGTCACCCCCGCCGAGTGCCCCCCTGGCACGTGTGAGGCGCTGGCCCCGTCCTCAGCACCACAGGAAGGTCAGCGAACATCACGGGGGTGTGGTGTCCGCCTCCAGCCAGAGACGATAGGGAGAGAGGTCCCCACTAGAGTTCTGGTCAGGACAGGACGCGGGCCCCCTGGCTGCACCCAGGTGCCGCAGGCTGGCCTCGTGAGGCCCAGGGAGTCACCGTCCCCCTTCTCTGGCTCCTGAGGCCCACAGCCCTTGGCTCGGCCCCCTCCGCCAGCCCAGGGCCAGCAGCGCAGCGTCTCCAGGCCCCCTGACTCTGGCCCTCCTGCCTCCTCTCAGGAGGACCCTGTGGTGAGCTGGGTGACCCCAGCTCAGGGCCCTTCCACAGTAGGCAGCAGGTGCTGGCCCCGAGGGCACAGCGCAGCCGGCCGGGCGGACGGTCACCCTGGGGCTTCTCCTTGCAGGGAAGGAGAACAACTTCCCGCCCCTGCCCAGGTTCCTGCCGCTCAAGCCCTGCTTCTACCAGGACGTCGCCAGCGAGATCCCCGCCGAGCACCAGGTGCTGGTGAAGAGGATCTTCCGGCTGTGGATGTGTGAGCCCTGGGCCCCACGGGCAGCGGGCGGCAGGACGTGGGGGCTTGGGGGGGGCGGGCCCAGGAGGCGGGGGCCTGCTGCATGCCTTCCCCGGTGACTGTGGTGGGCAGAGCCTGGCTTGGCCCGGGGAGTGAGTGGCTTGCAGGACGGCAGCCTGGCAGAAGCCCTTTGTCCACCCGGCTGTCTCAGGGCCCTGGTGGCCCCTGTGGTTAACAGGGCCTACTCCCTGGGCCGGGCCGGGCCCAGTGTCCTGGGTTACCCAGGTAGGGTGGTGCAGCGGGGGACTGGACAGCCCAGGCTGGCGGGGTCCTCAGTGGCGTGCCTCCCGCACCCCAGCCGGCCTCCCTCCCCACAGTCTACTGCGCCACCCTGGTGGTGAACCTCGTCGCCTGCCTGGCCTGGTGGATCGGCGGAGGCGCAGGTGCCAACTTCGGCCTGGCGCTGGTCTGGCTGCTGCTCTTCAGCCCCTGCAGCTATGTGTGCTGGTTCCGTCCGGCCTACAAGGCCTTCCGGTAGGTGCCCCAGGCTTGCCGGGCTGTCCCCTCTCAGGGTCTCTGGACACCTCTGGTGCTGCTGTCTGACTGCGCTGAAGGGTGGGTGGCTCAGATGCCCATGGGGGTGTCCTGGTCACCCTTGCTGACCTTCATGCAGGGGGCGCCTGGGCTCATCTCCCATCTAGCTTGGTCCTGAGGTTGGACCCCAGGGACAGCTTACCACTGAGTCACTCCCCTGCCTTTTTTTTTTTTAGTTTTTTCTTAGTTGAGACAGACAGGATGCCTTCATTTTATTTATTTTTGTGTGGTGCCGAGGGCCGAGCCCGGTGCCTGCATGGGCCAGGCAGCCGCTCCATCACTGAGCCACAACTGTAGCCCCTTTTGTCTTTTTTTTTATCTGGAGAGAGGGCCTCACTAAGTTGCTGAGGCTGGCTTTGAACTTGCAATCCTCCTGCCTCGGCCTCCCCAGTTACTGGGATGACGGCCTGACCGCCGTGCCCGGCTTCTCCAGGTGACAGGCCGCTGTGTCGGGGCTGGCAGGCTGCAGCCCGCAGGCCACGTCCAGCTGTTGCCGACTCACCATCGACGACCCCGGTGCTCCTTGCACCACCTGCGTGGCCTCCAGTGTGTTGCTGGACACTGCAGATGCCCACCGGGTACCTCCAGAGCAAGCCCCAGCCCTCGCAGCCCTGCTCCTGCAGGTCCATGTCTCATCTCTGGACTCCCCTGTCCTGGCCTCTCCTGTCACGGGGTCACACGTGTGGTCTTGTGTGTCTGGCTGTCACTGAGCACTAGGTCCTCGGGTCTGACCGTGCTGCAGATGTGCATGGAGCATGTCGGGATTCATCCTCCTGGGGGTGGACCCGGGGCTGCCTCCACCGTTGCCTAGGGCGTCACTGCTGTAGACGCTGCCCTCAGCAGGCCCCCAGTGACTTGGGCACGTGTCATGCTTGCTCCTGAGGGTTCCCTCAGCCCTAGACTCAGGGCTTGAACAAGACAGGACAGTGCTCATCGCCGGGCTGACCCCCAGGGCTGCGGGGACCGCAGGAGCACAGCTGGGCGCAGGAAGGGACGCAGGAGCCTCCCTGCCCTCCCCAGATGCCTCCCTTCTGCCTCACTGGACACGCCCGGGCTGCGCAGGGTCCCCCGGGCTGCGCAGGGTCCCCCGGGCTGCGCGGAGGGCTTACCTGGCTCTTCCTAGCAGAGACCCAGGGCTGCGGTGCCCCTCAGAGGAGATGGGCGGTCAGGGTGGTGTGGCCGGTGCGGTGCCTTGGTGGTCAGCGCCCAGGTGGAGCCATGTAGTGATGCATGAAAGTCTGTGAGCTGCCCAGTGCCCCAGTACTCGGAAGCCCCTGCGCCCACCCTGCTGGCCTCACCTTCTGGTGGGAGCGCAGGCCCAGTCACGGTCACCTCTTCTGTCCCCTCCAGAGCCGACAGCTCCTTTAACTTCATGGCCTTCTTCTTCCTCTTCGGAGCCCAGTTTGTCCTGACTGTCCTCCAGGCCGTTGGCTTCTCAGGATGGGGCGCGTGGTAAGCTGCTGGCGCCTGAGCGGGTGGGCACCGCCTGGTGGCACAGCGCACGGGGAGCAGGGGCCTGGCCGCGGGGCCCTGGCTCCACCTGCGGCCACCCCATCCCCGACGCGCCCTTCCTCCTCTGCCCGGTGGGCTCCTGGCTCCCAGGTCTCTGCAGGCTCCCTTCCGGGTGCCCACAGAGGCCCACTGGGGAAGCCCTGGCCCAGGTGGGACAGGAAGGACGTGCAGGGACGCTGGAGGGAGAGGGGTGCAGGGCCAGCGGAGCCGGCTGTGGAGTGGACCCAGACGAGTGCCTGCACTAGAAAGGGCCTCCGAGGGCTGAGCCCTCCTCTCTTCACCCCAGACTGGCCGGGTCCTCCCTCCTCCCTCCAGCTGTGCCCACCGTCCTCCAAGACTGTCCAGGGCCAGGGCGGGAGGGGAGGGAGGGAGCACAGGGGGAGGAGGGACGAGGAGGCTTCACTCAGGGTCAGAGGACCAGCTCGTGCTGGGCTTTTACAGGTGATGGTGACTTTGTATCATTTGATTAACATAAAAAAGTTAAAAAAAAAAAAAAAAAGGGAATAAAAAGGAGCAGAGCAGGAAGGAAGGAGCACTGAAGTCTTTCTAGGTGGTACTCCTTGGCCCTCCACAGAGGGCAGCTAACAGGCAGCCCTCTCACTTCTCTCCTGCACTTGGAGCTGCTGTTGTGAGGCAGGAAAAGGAGCCCTGGCCTGTGGCCCTCAGGTGGTGATCTGAGCATTCCGGGTGGTGTCAGTCACCTAGTAGTCCTCGAATGCCCAGTCTTCCACAGTTACCATTTCTTATTGGTTATTCAGAGCTCTTTGTATGTGAAGGACAGCAGGCCCTTGCCCAGTACGCATGCTGAAGCTCACTCTCCCCTGCAGTGGCTGGCTGGCAGCGATCAACTTCTTTCAGACCAGCATTGGGGCTGCTGTGGTCATGCTGCTTTCAGCCATCATGTTCTCTCTGTCTGCTGCCATGATGGCAGTTGCCATCATGAAGGTGAGTCCTTGGGTCCTGGGATGTGCAGCCCTTGCCCCTCCTCTCCCGTCACTAAAGTGGGGAAAGTCGGGGGAAACCAGGCAGGGCCTCCAGTCTCCTCCCAGGGAGTCCCACAGGGTGCACTTGGTCCCCACAACACACCTGTGGAAAGTCGCTGAGAGCTCACAGAGACTCAGCGCCTGGGGTCAGTGGGGGACACGCGGCCCCTCTGCCTGGCGCGTGCTGAGATCCCAGATCCAGAGGCACCCGGGGGCTGAGCGGAAGCCACACTGTTGGCCCCACGGCTCAGGCCCAGGAGCCCCTCCTGTCACGGGGGGTGGAGGCCCCAGGGCCAGGTCCCCAGAAGCCCGGCCAGCTTCCCAGCCCCTCCTGAGCTCGGCCTCAGGCTGCAGGGCAGGCTCTGGGTCCTGAGACAGGCACACAGACAGGCAGACAGCCCCCCGGGCCCAGCTGGAGGACATCAGGATGGAGAAGCTGTTTTTCACTTACTGAGACCACCACCATCTCGGGAGGCGGGCAGCCCTTTGCAGTGGGGAGACCTGGGTCCTGGAGGGGGCGCAGCCGTGCCCAGAGCCCGGTGGAGGTCTGTGGCCGGATGTGGAACGAGGGGTTCACAAGTGCCAGGCTTCACCAGCACACACCTGCCACTGCCAAGACCTGCCCGTGGGGCGAGGCTGAAGGTGAGGGGCTTGCACCAGGCGGGGCCTGTGTGCCCAGCGCTCGACGGAGGCCCCAGCCCTGCCCTCCAGAGCAGCCCTGCCCCTCCAGTCTCCACTGACTGTAATCAGGTCTGCAGCAGCAAGCTTGGTGTCCAGGCCGCTGGCCAGCCCCATGAGGGCAGGGCCAGGTAGAGAGGTGGATGTTGAGCATGCACCAGGCCCCAGTCCTGTCCCCAGCAGCAAAACAAAACCTAAGCACGGCCTACTTGACACCAGCAGTGGGGCTGCCGCCCCTGACTGCCTGAGGACCCCTCCTGTGCCGGCTCCCGCAGACCTCTTCCTCGCGTTGTGCAGGTGGGCAGTCGGCACAGCTGCCCCGTCCACTGGTGTCCACTCGGGCCTCATCCCCCTCCCTGGGGTAAAGCATGCATTCCTCCTGCGTGGCGGCTGAGGTGCTGCCGAGGCCGAGGGCAGCCCCCTGCCGGCCTGTGCTGACCATCGCTCTGGGGTCCCAGTGGCCACGGACGTGGTGAAGGAGCCAGGTGGCTGTGTTTGCAGACAATCACAGGAAGAAGAAGGCCCTGCGTGGCACGGGCAGTCCCTGCACGGGCACAGACCCACTGGCTCCTGCCTCGTTCCTCTGACCCTGTAGGTGCACAGAATCTACCGTGGGACTGGTGGAAACTTCCAGAAGGCACAGACGGAGTGGAGCACCGGTGCCTGGCGGAACCCCCCTTCCCGGGAGGCCCAGTACAACAACTTCTCGGGGAACAGCCTGCCCGAGTACCCCACCGTGCCCAACTACCCAGCCAGTGGCAGCCAGTGGCCTTAGAGGGAGCCGCTGGCCAAGCTGCCGCCCGCCTTCTCTGCCACTCCCACTCCTGTTGCCCTCGGGTCCCCATGGCCCTCCCCAGCCAGGGCCTGTGGACCCCATGTTCCTCCTGCCCCAACAGCAGGGCTCCTGGCCAGCCCTGCCTGGCGGCTCTCTGGCCTCTGCTGTCCACTGTGGCAGGCACAGCCTCTGTCTCCAGGTCACAGAGGGCCCAGCTGAGGGGCCCCAGGGGGACAGTGGCAGCAGGCTGGTGCCCACCGTCCATCCAGAGTTGCTGACACAGTGTCCTCACTCTTGGCTGCTTGTGGCATCTTTGGTGCCAACCAGGAAGAGGCCTGGCAGGGTCCAGGTCCCCTGCAGGTGGCAGAGGTTTGGTGCACGTTCGGCCCTCTGTGTCTTTGTCATCCTCCTACGTCCCTGCTCACCTGCAGCCAGTGACTCATGGGACCAGCCCACAGGGATGGCCAGAGGCAGAACCCACCTCCCCAGTGACCTGCACTGCCCGTCCACCCATCCAGCAGTCCTCCCCGTGCGTCTTGCTGGACAGGGCCTCTGGAGCCACACTGTGGCTGTGACAGTCCCTCCCCTCCTGGGCTAGCCCAGCCTGTGCCCGTGCCCCAGGGTGTGGCCCCCCAGAGCAGGGCAGCGAGGGGGCCCTGCCTCCTGCTCAGGAGCCCAGAGGACCCTGGGGGACCGCGGGCAGGCAGAGGCGGAGCCCTGGGATGGCCCCTCAGGGCCGAGCTGTGCCTTACAGAGGACTTGTCCCTCCACTCCTGCCCTCTGGGGCGCTGTGTCCTTGGAGGAGCCGGGTGCACCCTGGGCTGGGCTCAGTGGTGGAGCGCGCCGAGCAGAGGAGGCCCTGGTTCCATCCTCAGTTCACGTTAAAAGAATTGATATAATAAAGGTATCGCGTCTACCCACAGCTACAGAATTATCACACCAAGAGGGCCAAAGTGTCTCACGGACATGTCTGTGTCCCCTTTGGTGACATCTGGGCATAAAATCTTCCCTTTGGTGGCCTTTCTGTGCTGCTGGCCAAGACTTCACGGTGCCCAGCTGCCACCCCTTGCAGGGCAGGCCCTTCCCAGCACACCGGGGGTCACCGGCTCTCGCCAGGACCACTCAGTCCAGGCACCCACGTTCTCCACCCCAGAGCAGAGGGGAAGGCAGCCTGGTGCCATGCAGGCCCAGGGCCCCCCAGAGCCCCACGGCCCCGGCCAGCCTCTTGCCCGCAGAAGCCTGCCCTGCCTGTGACTCCCCCTGGGTGGCAAAGCAGTGCAGCCACCATGGGGAAGAGCCTCGAACTGCCAGTAGCACCTGCCCCACCCGCCAGCCCTGCACCCTCAAGACTGGTGGTTTTTGTTAGGTGAAAATATTCTGGAAATAAATCCTTTTTTTGCATCAGACTGAGCAAGGGACTGTTTGTGGTGTGTGACACGTGTGTGTGTGTGTCCCTAGGTCTCCTGTCCACCAATGGGTCCCAGAGCATGTGGCCAGCGTGAGCGTGGCCCGTGTCCAGTCCTCAAGGTGGCTCTACCATGCCCACTTCCCTGACGGGCATTCTACCTGGCAGCAGAGCTGAGCCTCCAGGGTGCAGGGCCTCGCCGTCCCTCCATGTCCACACGGACCCAGGTCCCTCCACGGCCTCGAGCTGCCTCCTCTTTGTGCCCAGGTGTTTTGTTTGGGAGGCATCTTTGCATGTGTGTGTGCCTGTGTCAGGAGTTATGGGTGCCCTGAGGACACAGGCGGGCCCCTCCCAGCCTCCGCCTCCCACCCATTTCCCCTGCGCCGTTGCCACGCCACTTGGTACTAGGGGCACCTTGGGCTCCTCAGAGCTTGCCCCAGCACGTGGCCCAAACTGCCCTGGCCATGCCTCCCCGGCCCCTCGGGAGCACATCCCTACCACAGACCAGAGCCCCATGAAACCCCCATCACACTCCCTGAAATTGTCATTCTCCAGTCATTCCTGAGTGTCCTCTGCCCATCTTCCCCTCCGTCCACCTTCCTGGGAGACTCCAGATGGCTGTCTGCCAGCCCCTGCCAAATAGCCTTGGCAGACGGAAAAATGGAAGTGGGATCGCTGGGGGTCCCACTGAGGACCGAGAACCCAGGCAGGACACAGGCTTCTCTCTGAGTGCCCTGTCCCTTTGGGGGTCCCAGGATGGTCAAGAGAATGAGGAAACCATGATGGAAGGACAAGAGCCTGGCTGCCCTGGGGATCCCTGGTGGCCACTGCCCCGAGGACTCCTCAGGCCAGGTGACAGTCCTGTTGTACTGGTCCTGGTCCCTCTCTGTACATCCCTGGCCACAGGTGGCTGTGTGGACAATGCCCTGCCTTCTGGCTTCCAGTTGTGTCCGTGGAAGGGCCTGGCCCTGGGAACTATGGTGGACCCCCCCCTGAGGCCCTGTCTCTGCGGGCCCCGGTCTGCAGTCTGTGCCCACTCTGTGCTCCCCTTGGCCCCAGGAGCTTGGTCCTTCCAGGCCGAGGGCCTTCTCCCTCCCTCCCGCCCTCCCTCCCTCCCTCCCTCTCTTCCTCCCTCCCTCCCTCTCTTCCTTCCTTCCTGGCGTCCAGGGCCTGGAACAGGGCAGGCGGGCACTCTGCCCCGAGCTGCCCGCAGCCTGGTCAGCCTGCCTCTGCTGCTGGTTGCTGAGCAGCACAGACTGCACAAGCTTCAAAGGAAGGGGGCTTATTTCGGCTCATGGTTCTAGAGGCCCCCAGGGAAGGGCCCACATTGGGTGCCCACCATTGGGTGCCGGCCTCTTGCTGGCAGGGTCCCAGGGTGGCACGGGCCATTGTGTGTCCAGAGACAGGAGCACATGTGTGCATTGCTGGTCTTTTTATTTATCTACTTATTTTCAGGTGTAGGTGGACACAACACCTTTATTAACTTCACGTGGTGCTGAGGATGGAACCCAGGGCCTCGCACGTGCTGGGCAAGCGCTCTACCGCTGAGCCACCACCCAGCGCTTGGCCCCTGTCTTTTGTCCAGTGCTGGGGATGGAACGCGGTCTTCAGCATAGAAACAGTGTCTTTGATGGGAGGAGAGGCAGAGTCTGTGGCCACCACGGATTTGAAGGACTGACTTTTCCTTCATGTCCCCTTGCTGGTGACCTGTGGCCATCCCTTGCCTGGGCCTAGGTGCCAGGTCAGCATCACCAGGCTCACACAGAGCTGGCCTCGGGGTGGGTGTCGGGGCAGGAGACACCTGGGGAACAGGCCCGTCATTTTCCCTGTGTTCTGAGCACCTTGTCCACTATGGGCTTCCCTCCACAGCTGGCCTCAGTGACAGGAGACACAGGGAGTCCTCATCACTTTTTGGATTCCTCAGCATCACTGTGCCAGGTCACCAGGGCAACAGCCAAGGACACATCACCAGAAAAAGCCACCTCCCAGCGGGCTCCAGCATCAGCCAGGACACTGCTGCCCGGGAAGCAGCCAGCCCCCGGGCGGCCCGTGCCTGAGCCGGGCGAGGCTCGCAGAGCCGCAGTCCCGGGCTTCACCCAGCACAGTCCATCTCACACGGGTTCACCAGACCACCAGCTCGCCTGCACGGGCTGAGGGCACACCGGCGGCCAGCTTTGTGCTGCCGTGACAAAACCCCCAGCACAGGGTGACCACGAGGGAAGGGTTACTTCACTCACGGTTCTGGCAGTTCAAGGCCAAGATGAGGCGGCCCTGTGTGTGGGAGTGTGGTCAGGCACCATGGTGGGAGCCCGTGCTGCTGGAGAGAGTAGTCCCAGGACCACCTGGAGCACATGGACCTTCGGCCCCAGGCCACACCAGACACACATGCATTTACCCAGAGGGCACAGCGGAGAGGCACCTGTCCTCTGGATGCCCTGCCTACAGGAAAGGCAGGCCAAGTGGCCCCTGCTCGGCTCCTGGGCCCAGCTCCTGAGGGCTTGCCTCACGTTGGGTGGTGTGCGGGGTGGACCAGCAGGCCTGCTCTCCTCGGGTGCCCTCCAGACACTGGAGCTAGGCCGGCAGCCTCGTCTCCAGGGGTGCCTGCTGCCTCCAGCCCGGTGCTCGGCCCACCAGGACTGCGGCTTGCATGGCCAAGGAGCAGGGAACAGCTGGAGTGGGGACACTGAGGGGAGCTCAGAACTGGTGTCCAGTGGGCTGGAGGGTCGGGGACGCCAGTTCAGGTCAGCCAGGACTCTGCTCCCTCCCCCTGTGCATGGCCAGCCCCTTTGGATGGCTTCCTGTGAGCAGGTTCATCTGGCAGGCCAGGCCAGGCCTACTCTGTCTTTGAGTGGACATGGCTGAGGCCCGGGCACCTGGCGAAGGGTGACGACAAGGGCAGACGCTCCCTGCCTCTTTTTGCCCTTCTGGGAGTGCACTCGGCCCTTTGTCCCTGGAGCGGCTTCAGGAAAACACCATGTCATGAGCGTCGACCTTGGGCGTGAGTCACTTACTCCTGCTGTCCACTGCTCCCAACCTGATCCAGACCGTGAGGTGCTGACCAGGTCTTCTCATCCTCTCGGAGGACGTCTGCTTGGGGGGTGGCGAGATTGGGCCCCTGGCCACTTGAGATGGGAAAGCCCTCTGTAGCTGGGGCCTGCTGAATGCCCAGGTGCCAGCAGCGGTGACTTGCTCAGCTCTTTCCTCTTGGCGGGCAATGGCAGGCCACCAGCACAAGCTTCCACAGGGCCACCTTCCCCCCTCCCAGGGAGCTCCCTCCTGACTTCCAGCTCCTGGGGTCCAGGCAGCCTTGGGATTGTGGCTGCACAGACCCACCCCTGACTGTATCCAAGTGACCCCTCTATGTGTCTTCTTTTAAGAACACCCATCGTTGGATTCAGGACCACTGGAATCTTATTTTATTTATATTTATTTTTGGTACTGAGGATTGAACCCAGGGACACTTACACCACAGTGTGACACTGTCAGTCCTTTTTATTTTTGGACAGGGTCTCACTAAGTTGCCTAGGCTGGCCTCAAACTTGTGATCCTCCTGCCTCAGTCTCTGGAGTAGCTGGGAATGACAGGCACAAACACCGCGCCCACCTTATGACCTCATGTTTTTTTAATTCCAGGTATTGACCCCACAGAGCCACATCCCCAGCCCTTTGTATATTTTATTTAGAAACAGTTCTCGCTAAGTTGCTAGTCTGGCTTTGAACTTGTGATCCTCCTGCCTCAGCCTCCTGAGCTGCTGGGATTACAGGTGTGTGCCACCGCATCTGGCTATGACCTCAATTTAATGTAACTAATTACACCCAGGATAACACTTATTTTTCCCCAAAAAAGTTCATATTCTGAGGTTCTAGGTGGACATAAATTTTGGAGAGGATACCATTTGTTTTTATCTTTTCACTGCTGTGACAACTTAGAGGAGAAAAATTTTATCTGGGGCTCAGTTTCAGAGGTTTAGTTTATGATTGGTGGCTGCTGCTCTGGGGCTGAGCTGAGGCAGAGTGTGGAGAGGCCACCTGGAAGCAGAGCAGGTGAGGAGCCAGGGACAAAACCCAACCCCCAAGGGCACCCAATGACCCACGCCCTCCAGCCACACCCTCCTGCCTACAGTCACCACCCAATGATCCATTCAGACAGTCCAACAGAACCAACCATCAGTCCCCTGATTGGTTACAGTTCTAACCATTTCACCTCTGAACATTCCTGCACTGTCACATGAGCTTTTTGGGGGACACAGTATCTGCACCATAACATCATTCACCCCTTGAACTTAGCTTTAGGGAGTGGGTGAACAGGCCGCCCTCCTGGCAGCTGCTGGGGGTCCCTGATAAGGCCCTGCATGGCCCAGGCTCAGGGTGTCTGTCTCGGGTTTGCTGGACTTTCTGTTGAAATTCCAAAGCTTCAGGAAACTCAGGTAACCGGGGATGGTCAGTCACCCTGTGCATTATCTAGGCAACAGGAGGGAAGATGTTCTAGAAGGCAGACCAGGTCAAGTCCACCATCTGTTCCGCCATTAATACCAGACAGGGCCAACACCTCCGCTGCCCGTGACATTCACAGATCAGGTTGGCTCTTGCTGTGCCAGTCAGAGTGGTGGCCAGCTCAACCCTGTGCTTCCTCTCACCTGCCTCCATCAGGGGCCCCACAGCCCTCACGCCTTCTGGCCTGTTTCGCCCTGAGGTGCACAACATCTAAACACAGGAGATTGGGCCCCCAGTCAGTCCTGTGTGTTCCAGGGCACAGCTCTACATCCTGCAGCTACTGTGATTGGGGTGGCACAGTGTTGGTCCCCACCTAATGGGACACTGGGAGGCAGTGCTCTTGCCAGTTAAGAGCAGCAGCGTGGGAGTTTCCAATCCCAGACAGAGTGGGCAATTCATTTACTTTCTCTAAACCTCAGTTTGCACATCTTGAAAATGGGAATATGCAAATCAGCAGAGGAAAGGGTCTTGAGGGGTGACCCAGAGTCCCCTGTCTACAGCAGGTCAC